GCACGAGGGTGAGTGATTAATGACAGAATTTTCATTTTTGGGTGAACTAACCCTTTAATATGATTGTACACAAGGTGCATTTGTACATGATGACCAATATTAAAATGGGATTTAAAAACTACATGTAACTTTTTAAATCAAGTAATTACAATTCTTCCGTTTATAACAACTAGGGGTGGGTGATATACTGGTAGTCACAATTAACTGTTAGAAATTAATCAACCGTAGAGCTTGACTGTCGTCTCTATCATGGTTACACAGTCATGTGACATTGCTGTGCTACGTGGTCATGAAAACGTATCGTTTGCACACGTTTTTAAGCATTGCGGTTTAAAAACAAGTGATTTTAAGCCGTTAAAGCGCAATCAGCAGCGAAAGAGAACTAATTTCGCTATATGCGCTGAGCGCTGTTTGATAGACTGTTTCTGAGTGCTGTCAGAGAGATTTGCAGCTTTATAGGCCTTGAACGGTTAAATACACACACACTTGTATGTGTCAAAATGCCCGTCTTTGCAAATATCCTCATAAACACAGTAATTTAGCTCTTAAGTGAACGCGAACAGCTAAGAAAGAAAACACATGTGTAACAGTATATTGATCCGGGCAGCTCTTAAAGTGACAGCAGTCTAATACTCCTGCTGTCTGTCATTCACGTTAATCAAACATCAAGAGAGAGAAAATCTCTCACTGCTCTTGACTAAATCAATTTTGTAACGTTAAGAAGAAATATATATTTACACAGTGAAGAATATGCAGTGTTTTATACATTTGATTACTTCATACAATGTATGTAGCATTTCTTATTTATTTGTTCTGCTGTAGTTTTTTTGCCCTATTGTTTGTAATTAGTTTGTTATTCTTATTTAAAGGGGTCCTATTATGCTCTTTTACAAAGTCTTGATTTTGTTTTGGGGGTGTACTAGAACATGCTCTCAGTTAAATACACACACTTGTATGTGTCAAAATGCCCGTTTTTGCAAGTATCCGCGTAAACACAGTAACTTAGATCTTAAGTGACAGCAAACAGCCAAGAAAGAAAACACGTGTAACAGTATATTGAATCCGGGCAGGTCTTAAAGTGACAGCAGTCTAATCTTCCTGCTGTCTGTCATTCATGTTAATCAAACAACAAAAGAGAAAATCTCTCACTGCTCTTGACTAAATCACTTTTGTAACTTTAATAAGAAAAAATATAGATTTAATTTACACAGTGTTTTTATAAATTTGATTACTTTATACAATGTTTTGTCCTATTGCTTGTAAATAGTTTCTTATTCTTTTTTATTCACTGACTGTTTCCTTGTCTTCAGTGAACTCAAGTTGTTGTTTTTTTATTTAAAAAAATAAATTATCGCTTCTGTGTACTGTAATACTGCTTCAGGGTCTTGAAATACCATTAATATTGCTAAAACAAATATTACTAATGTCAGTACAACTAATCACAGTTGTAATGAGACGAGCCCTATTCTGAAATTTTAATATTTGGCGGCCCGCTCTGATCTTTCTGGTCCTTGTCTGCTGTACTCAAACTTCTTCTGTAGTTGTATAAATGCTAAAGCACGATTCATGTCCTCATGTTGTCTTTTTCCGTCTTTTTTCCTTCTCTGTCTCTTTCAACGTGTCTGTTTTGTAGAAGGTAAGTGCTGAACTTCCTTTTTCGCTTCAGAAGTCCTTCTGACTATTCTTTTTGAATCGCTCTGTCATCCACCATCCTTTATGAAATTGTCTCTTTTCAAGTTTTCACACTGTGTTCAGGAATGAATCAGCCTCCTGTTGTTGTGTTAATCAGATGTTTTTGTTTTCAAGCTGATCTCGTCTGTCACACTTACGTTTCTTTCACTTGACTCGCATCAGGGCTTTAACACAAGTGTCGTGCTGCTTTGACCAGCAGATCACATAACAGCTATTTTATATGATAATTATTCTCTGAATGTTATTTTATATCTTCAGCTGTGTGTTGCACAACTTAAGAAAGACAGCAGTAATTGGAGTCAGTTTAAATAGTTGGGTTAGGCTGTTAGTTGACTATTTGCACCAGTTTAATGCGTTGGGGAATGTCAATGCGAATAATGTGAAAGGACTTGACAGTGATTCAAGCTCAAAGCCACATTATTTTGAGATTATTAAATCATCTGCTTTACCACAAAAACTTCACTTTTACATCCATTAAACACACCAATCTACACAATTAAAATCCAGTAAGCATTGTCTCCTCTTGTGATCTAAAAAAAAATCTAGTATAGTTTATGAATATTTTGTAGTAGCCTAATTATGTTGTGTGTAATTGATGATTTAATTTGCATAATCATTTATTCTTATGACCAATATATATGTGACGCTGGAGCACAAAAGCAGTCTTAAGTCGCTGGGGTATATTTGTAGCAATAGCCAAAAATACATTGTATGGGTCAAAATTATTGATTTTTCTTTTATGCCAAAAATCATTAGGATATTAAGTAAAGATCATGTTCCATGAAGATATTTTGTAAATTTCCTACTGTAAATATATCAAAACTTAATTTTTGATTAGTAATATGCATTGCTAAGAACTTAACTTGGACAACTTTAAAGGCGTTTTTTTTCCTCAATATTTAGATTTTTTTTGCACCCTCAGATTCCAGATTTTCAAATAGTTGTATCTCAGCCAAATCTTGTCCTATCATAACAAACCATACATCAATTTATTATAATTTATATATATTTATTCAGCTTTGAGATGGTGTATAAATCTCAATTTCGAAAAATTGACCCTTATGACTGGTTTTGTGGTCCAGGGTCACATATTGCTTTTTTTCCTTGTGTTAATGTCGTTTTTTTTTGTCCATCAGTGTTTGATTTCATTAATGGGTGAATCTCACAAAGTCTGTCAAAAATGTGTCCGGGTCATATTTCACTACAAAGTCAAGAATAATTAATAATCAGGATATTATATATTGAGTAAAAAGCCTATTGTGCCATTATCTTGTCAGGTCTGTCAGCATCCTAACGCTAGAATGAGGGAGTGGGGCGCAGAGGCCATCACCTCGCTGATCAAAGCTGGACTCTCCTTTAAACACGAGCCACCGCTGTCCCAGAACCAGGTAGAAATTCAATCAGATGATCTGAAATCGGTGCTCGTGCAGAGTTTGAGTTTGGTTATTGATTGGACAGCACCTTCAACCAATCCCCTGTCCTCCTTAGAGGCTGCAGCTGCTGCTTCTGAACCCTCTGAAGGAGCTCTCCAACGTCCTTCACACCGATATCCGACAGAAACAGCTGGAGTGTGTCCTACAGATCCTGCAGAACCAGGGAGACAGTCTCGGACCGGGATGGCCTCTGGTGCTGGGGGTCATTGGAGCGATCCGCAATGACCAGGGGTGAGACACACTGCCTGACCTTGCAGAAAGATCATTTTAGACAAGCAAGAATTTCCTTATTGGTCCAGGTTGGGTTATGCAAGTTAGTGTTGGTTTGTTGCTTGGTCAACCTGCATGGTCCTTCTTTTGAGGCTGGTTGACCAGCGAAGTCTTCATGATTTATCTAGTTAGCAGCTAGCATCTAACAATCACATTTGAAGTGTTGATCTTGGGAGTGTCTCATTTGTACTCAACACACCTTACGTTCTGCAGTGAATCCCTCATACGAACAGCCTTCCAGTGCCTGCAGTTGGTGGTGACCGACTTCCTACCCACAATGCCTTGCATGTGCCTCCAAATTGTGGTGGATGTAGCTGGCAGCTTTGGGCTCCAGAACCAGGAGCTGAACATCAGCCTGACGTCTATCGGCTTGCTGGTGGGGAGTACTACTAGTGTTGCTTGTCAGCGTTACCTTGAAGGTTTTGAGTGTTCCTTTGGGATAGATGAGTTGACTTAGTGAATGACCAAGAGTCTTCCTTTTTCCCTGCAGTGGAACATCTCAGACTACTTCTTCCAAAGGGGAGAAGCTATTACAGAGGAGCTGGAGAGGGAGGAAGCGGTTCTCTTGAAACAGGCCCAAGATAAAGGTGAACCTCTGAACCGACCCTTCCACCCTGCGCCACCCTTTGACTGCCTGTGGTTGTGCCTGTATGCCAAGCTGGGTGAGTTGTGCGTGGACCCACGGCCGGCTGTGAGGAAAAGCGCCGGCCAGACAATGTTCTCTACCATTGCTGCTCACGGAACGCTGCTGCAACCACCGACCTGGAACATTGTGGTTTGGAAGGTACTGCATCAGACTTGACCGGGGACCAAATTATACCCAGTTCTAGCTAAAATTGCTTTGTTGGTTGAGACTTGACCGGGGACCGAATTAAATCAAGTTCTAGTTAAAATGGCTTTGTTGGATCAGACTTTCCCGGGAACCAAATTAAATCCAGTTCTAGTTCAAATTGTTTTGCTGGATCAGACTTGACCGGGGACCGAATTAAATCCAGTTCTAGTTAAAATTGTTTTGCTGGATCAGACTTGACCTGGGACCAAATTAAACCCAGTTCCAGTTAAAATTGCTTTGTTGGTTCAGACTTGACCGGGGACCAAATTAAACCCAGTTCTAGTTAAAATTGCTTTATTGTTGCTAATAACCAAACCTCTTTGCTCCGCAGGTTCTCTTTCATCTGCTGGACTGTGTAAGGAAGTCCTCCACCACGGCCGACAAGGAAAAGATCGAATCCGGAGGTGGAAACATCCTCATCCACCACTCACGTGACACAGCAGAGAAACAGTGGGCAGAAACATGGGTTCTGACGCTTGCGGGCGTAGCTCGGATCTTCAACACCAGGAGATACCTGCTTCAGCAGCTGGGTAGGCATTGAGAAATGTGGTTCTCAAAGACTTATCTCAGAATTTGGTTCTGAAAGTCATATTCTTGCTTGCAGGTGACTTTTTCAAGGCTTGGGAAGTTCTGTTGGACCACATCCAGTCCGCTGCGCTCAGCAAGAACAATGAGGTTTCCCTCGCCGCCCTCAAGAGCTTCCAGGAGATCCTCCAGCTAGTCACGCCCATGAAAGACACGGATAAACTCGACGTTCTCGCAGCTATGGACGTTCCTCCTGTCCTTATGGAGTCTCTTCAAGGTTCTGGGCCAGGAAGACCCCTAGTCCGGTCTGATTCCCTTGCCGAGCGACTAGTCCAGCGCTACGGCGCGCAATCTTCACTTCCACCACCTGGAGAGGAGCTGGACGACTCGGCCCTCTGGTGGTCAGCGTGGAACACTTGGTACCGGATAGGAACCGAGTGCACGCGACCCCCTAGTGGTGGAAAAGATAAACTAGTGTTCGTACCCAGTCAGCCTTTCCTGACGGCGCTAATACAGATTTTCCCAGCGTTGTACCAGCACATCGCAGGAGGGTTCAGCATGGAGGATCTCAAGAAGCTGGGGGTGATTCTGCATGGAGCCGTGTCTGTCCCCATAAGCTCAGACTCCTCGCCCTTCATCTTGCCCTCCTACATGGAAGCGGTGCTCACCAGCCTGCAGGAAGCGGTCCTGACCGCCCTTGATGTCCTGCAGAAGGTAGAACACCTTCGGATTTTGGTTAATGAAGTGTTATGTTTCTAAGTGGACCGTCAAGGGTTTTGTTTTTGGTTGCAGTATTTGAGGTTGTTTTCACACTTTGATGCTTGAGTAGACAAGTTATCCATTCAGTCCCATTCTTAGTATTTCCACCAACCAACCAATCAAACAAACCAAACTCTGATGTAGGGCTGGGCGATTTTTCCGATTTTATTGATTAATTCGAATGTAATGTTTTGCCACGATTTTATTTTTTTATAAATGGAGGAATCACGATTTTGAAAAGAAATATTACCAAACATTAGAATTAGACACTTTGGCAATATGCCAATGATAACAGTAAAGAGAAAACAATGATCAAACCGCATGTCGGTGCCTGTGATTAAGTGATTAGAACGCCGTTTCATGCAAGAGACGCGAGTCAACAGTCAAACGCGTCTGTTTACATAGAAAAAACAATGGAAAAGCAGCGCAATCGAATAAAAACCTGTAAAGAACTACTACTGTATGTCTGAAATTTCATGTTTGCATCATGGTGACAGGCTGAAAGCTGCTGTTCATTGTTTTTACAGAACAATAGTCTACTGGTGTTATAGCCTACCTTCAGTCATTTTGAATTTGAATTACCTTGACTTTTGAGAATTTTTTTTTAAAGCATTTTCCTTGAATTATTTCTGAACATATAATATGTATAAGACAAGTTTATACAAGATGTAGTTGTATTTCGTGCATCTTAAAGATATTTAACAAGTGATTTGTTTAACATTTACATCTTGTGTGGTGCACTTGGAATAGAATTTTCTTTAACTAGATGTTTCATAAAGAAAAAGTTACTTGAATCATGTTGTGGCTACATTTTCAAGTTGACTAATTAAAAATCGAGAATCGGTCAAATTCTGAAAAAAAAAAAAACGAGATTAAATTTTTTTGCCATATCGCCCAGCCCTACTCTGATGACAAGTAGACTTCTTAGTAGACGTCTACACCAAAACAACCCTGAAAATCATGGATTTTTCTTTCTTTTTGGATGTTTGAATGAGATTGTATGTCATTGTTATAGGCAATTTGTGTGGGTTTGGAGAATCTCCAGGTGATGTATCCCGCCATCTTTGAGCAGCTCCTGCTGTTTGTGGAGTTCTCCTGTAAACCTCCTCAGTATGGGAAGATGGAGACCAAACATGTGGCCAATGCCAAATACAACCAGGTGAGTCTCTGTCCTGTTTCCACTTCACATGGTCTTCACTTTTTTAAGATAATGGGTTTGTCTTGATCATTGTATGTGTACTCACCATACATACACTCATCATCATCATCATCATACAACATTCATTTCTGTGTCTGTTTTCGGATGTGATGATGTAGTAGATGATCTTTGTTTCAGATCAGGAGTGCTTTGATGGTTTTGAATGCACACGTTTAAAGAAGTCTATGCTCTTTTGCTGTGTTTACAGTGATGTCTTTATGGCATTGTCTTTTTTCCTTTTCAGTTTTTATGTGGTTCTAGGATTACAACATTTCTCTTTGTTTTCATATATATTTGGGAATTTGGGTAGTTTCAGTTGCTTTTTAAAATTTTTTTAGTTTGTTTTAGAAAATATGACTTTCTTTGCATGGTGCTGGTTTCCTTTAGTGGCATTTTGTGCCTCTTTTAGAATTGTTTGAATACTTTGGACCATGTTTCTTTTAAAATTCAATAATTTTAGGGTTTCAAACATTTAACGTTTTAATCACACATTTTTTTTAACTAGTTGTTGGGTCAGTTTACCAGTTAAAACTATAAACCAGTAGAAATGTGTGAAATATTTAAATGTTAACCCATCCTTTGGCTTAGGTGCAACGATTATTTAAACATGACTTTCAAACCAAACGCTTGTTCGTCTTTGTTGTCGTCATTATAAGTAGTTTCATTAGTGTGTTGTGTGGTTGTGATCAGCAGTGTAGTAAACATTTGTCTGTTCTTCTCTTGTTCTGTTTTTGTACTTCATACGGATCCGCTTTAGATCCAACTGTTTGCACCGGTGAGTTCTTCCTCCCTCCCGCTTTCTTCCTCTATATCTCTGTCTTTCGTTTGCTTTCTGCCTCCTTCTTCCCTTCGGCTAATTTCAGCTCCATTTAACTGCTCTTTAAGACAAACTTTGCTCTTTCATACTGTTATAACATTTGTTTTTCTCCATTTATTTCCATCAGCCACATTTGTTCATTAATTCTAACAAAACTTCGACAAATTAATAGTGTTATTTTATGGAGTTTCTTAGAACCGTGTGGTGAAAAGTTTTGAAATTTGACACATTCATAGGGGAGAGTCTCAACTTCTTTAATGCCAATTTTAATGCCAATTTTCTAGCGCCACCAACAGTTATTGAATTGTATGGTCAAGAAATAAAGACTGTTTCTGAATAGCATACTACCATACTACTCTTACTATGGTTTTAGTATGTGGAATTTATACTGTGCATAGTATGCCAATTTATACATAAAATACTTCAGTGACCTGCTACATTTATCAAAATGTACAGTATAAAATACATGAAATGCAGTATCCCACAATGCAGTGTGCTTGACTTATCCTTCCATTTCCAGTGTAATGTGTAAAAAGTAGTGTTCCGTATGAAATTTGCTTATGCATCATTACAACTTATTGAGTTTGGTGACAGCTGTTCAGAATGCATAAATCATCCAAAAAATGTAATGAAACAATAATTTAGTGTACAATATATTTTTTTTAAATATCACAAATGTTTGCCTGTAACATGGTGAAGATCAGGGGCGTAGCGTGTGGGTATGCAGGGTATGCATGTGCATATTCGTGGCCACAATAAATATATATATATTTTTTGTCTGCATGTCATGTGCAGGGCTGGGTAATTTCTTGTGTGCATTTGTTATATTGCTGCCGTAGAACTGCGTACATTTTTTTTTTTAACTACGTGCAAATGCTGCATTGCCACGGCCAAATAAAATAATAATTAATAATAAAAAAATTTTTTTTAAAACACCTGTGTGAGGTTGGAAGCTAGCTAGTTGAAAAGTCTGTATCACATCTAGCTTCAGCAACACCTGCCGTTTTAATTATTTCTTTCATTTTAATTCTCTTTTATTAAAAGACTATCGAAAGTAATCATTCTTTCCATTGAGAATGCACGAAGCCTTAAATTAAACACCAAGGACATTGTGGATGAATTTCCTGAAAAAAAAGGCCCAACGAATTAAATTTAATTTAATTAATTACAACTAAAATGTGAGGAGAGTTTTTCTTTCTTTCTGTCTTTCTTTCTTTCTTTTTGTGTTTCGGGCCACTGTGCCAAGAGTGTTTGCATTAAGTAATTTAGTAAATATGGCAGCGTTTTAGTGCCATAATATTTTTAGAATAAAGTCAGAATTACGAGATTAAAATTATGTTATATTGCGTGCATGAATAACATTAATTAATGCAAAATTCCATATATGTAAATGTTATGTTACGACTGTTATGTCTATTCACAAACTGTTTTATTGACGATTTTCGAAACACCGATTGATCGATTGCATGAGACACATTCGTCTTCTGATTTTTGTTTAAACAAAATTTTTGATATTCATTCATGTTTATTTCATGCTGGAGCTAGAAAAGACGATTGATCCACATGCCGCTTGAACTGAGGCGAATACAGCGATCTCACGCCACATTAAAGAGCGGAAAAACACGTTTATTGTTTGTATTTCGTGATAAAATTGACCGCATTTAAAGGCTACGATTTGTGCTATATTAAAATTATGTTAATTGAGACTTGAATAGATGAATAGACTTGAAAACGTTAAATATTATTTCCAAGCATACCGTCAATAAAACAGCTTGTGAATAGTCCTGTAATGTTATTTACATCAGAAAAGACAACAATAAGGAGCTTTGGAGCCCACATTAACCTATAACGTTTGGGGGCCCGTATAAAAGTGTTGAAGTGGAAATCTGTTTTTCCAGTCATCTGCTGCATTTAAGCCCAGTTCTGTAGCTCGTTTTAGTTAGTAGGGATAAAAATTAGATTTTGGTTTGAACTGAGAACCTATCTGGTGACTAGTGTTTGTGTGTTAATTATTCACAGTCCTTCTATGATGCTATATTATTTTACATGTATTTGTCTTTGAGGCTGAGGTTAATAATACATTGTTTTTTTTTTATATTCACTGTCTTTATTTTGCTCTTCTTTCCTGTTTGTGTCCAGGCGGAGTGGGTGGCCTTAAACTACGTGCCGTTTGCGGAGCGATCTTTGGAGGTGTTGGTCGATCTGTATCATAAAACAGCCTGTCACAAAGCCGTCATCAACGAAAAAGTCCTACAGAACATCATCAAGGTACAAAGCAAAAACCATAATTTAGATTAATGTTTATAAAACTGACTGACCTCAACAAATATAATAATATGTAATAATAATAATAATTGGTATGTTGTGAACAGAGCTGGGTAGAAACTGATTACATGTAATCTGGATTATGTAATCCGATTCCAAAAATTAAGTACTTTTAATTAATTATATTACGTTTTAAAATGCTCATAGTCAGATTACAATTACTTTTTTATGGATTGCATTCACACAAAGGCCGTTAATTATTAATAATTTATTGATTCACCCAAGTACTTATTTATTTATTTATCATTTATTTTCTAAATGAACCTACCACTTATACACGTAAGACTAATAACAATGCAAGTTACTAAACACTGATGCATAGCTGTGAAATACTATGTCTTCATATCCAGTGACGTTCACTATTTATTAATACTGGAAAAAAATATTTCAAACCTGGAAGACTTTGGTCTTGTTTTCATGTTTAGTTTTTTAATGTAATGTAGAGATTCCCACGGTTTTGTCGTTTTTATGATTAAATTAATTACTAGCTTTTCATGAAATTTTCACGAACCCCAGTTTGGGAGACCAGTGTGTATTGTTTAATGCATTTCTTGATATTGATAACAGTGAAAGAAATACATTTTCATTATTTCGCTCTTTTTTTTTTTTTTTATCAACATGGACCAGTAATCACATTCAAGTCTATGTGATAAATGAGTTAGTAATCTAAAAGTAGTCAGATTACATTACCTAATATGTGTAATCCAGATTATGTAACTAACTACAATTTCCGTCTTGTAATCAGACTACAATTTGTAAGTAATCTGGTTGTGAATTAGTAGTTTCGTGAGACATGATGCATTTCCGGGCATCTTAGTCTCCATAGGTCACCTGCTTTCGGTCGAAGCAGCTGGCTTATCTGTGCAGGAGCTCGTGCGCACCGAGCAGAATCAATCCTCTCCGTTTCTCTGTATTTAGACTCTGAAGATTCCTCTGGGTCTGAAGTACGCCTGTCCTGCAGAGAGCACCTGGAAACTAGCCGTCTCTTCTCTGCTCAAAGTGCTTTCCATTGGACTCCCTGTTGCTCGGCAACAAGCATCCTCAGGCAAATTTGACACAATGTGGCCAGAGCTGGCGAACGCCTTTGAGGACTTCCTGTTTACCAAAAGGTGTGCAACCCATCGTGATATATTAAAACAGTGACTTAAGGGTCATTCGTACTCATTTTCCTCTCATATCCCACAGCACACCTCCAGATAATCGGTCCATACAAGAGTTCCAGAGGAATGAAGCTATAGATGTCGAGGTAATTTCATCTGACAGTAGATCCACATCGCCTAATTATTTTTTAATAAACTGTATTTGAGCTAGATAGATATATTATTATTACGACTACTATTTATTAGTGGTAGGTCAGTATATCTGTGAGACTGATATTTGGACACTTTATGATGAGACATTTTGATAATAATACATTAAATATTCAAAAAATTATGTTTGTATGTGTTATGAATTTGTTATGTGTTAAAAATTATGTGTGTATGTGTATATATACACATAAAACTATCTAAAATATAAATACATATTAGAAAATGAAAACATATTTTGACTATTGTATGCATTATATATTAAATATATTAAAATATATTTATATAATAATAAAGTACTGCTGTTTATTAGTTACTATTAACAGTACATATGTTATATATATATATATATATATATATATATATATATATCTTTACTATATACTTTATATATATATATATATATATATATATATATATATCTTTTTTACTCACCC